TTCCAGTGCCTCCGATGCAAAGGCCCAGCCAGGAATGACTCCAGTTCTGGTCATCAAAGGAGCTGGGCCTGGACCCACCCGGGCCTGGGTCAGCAGTGCCAGCACAGAGCCCGAGTCCCCACAATGTGCTTTTCCTGGCCAGCCCTAAGCTGCCTGTCACCAGTGTGATGACAGCAGAAGCATCTGTTCCTGCAGGGCCCGAGATATCTCTGTTTCTCAGATGGTTTTCACTGTTTTGTCAAGAAATCAAACCAGACACTGCCACACCAATGTGTGCACTCTGCATCTTACCCTCCCCAGCCACTGTGTCACACAGCATTTCTCACCTCCACAGAGCCATCCACAGGTGGGGAGGATGTCACCCCAGAGCCCAACACATTTCCCAACTTTGTAGTCATGGGCGGCTGCAGAACTGCGGGAGTCAGAAAAGCAGAGCCAAGGCTGACCCAGAGCTCCCTTCCCACTTGGCAGGCTGCAGCAGCTGGAGGACTGGTGGGAGGAGAAAGGGCTGCACTGGTAGGGGTCATGGATTGGGCCATACAGTTCCCAGAGAAACCCACGCTCCTCCTGTTCTAACACTGCAGATCAAAGGATTCAATCAACTCACTCAAGTGGCACCGACTCCTTTCTAGAGAGAGCCGTGAGATCCCCTGCTTTCCTCTGGTAGAAAAGGGATTATTTCAAAAACCAGGGATTATTTTAAAAACCAGGCTGTGTTTTATGCAGGACGCATGGGCCTCTGGCCGTCAGCAGAAGACGATGTCTCCCTCCTCACACCTGAAGACCAGGCCTCACCATGTGAACTGGGTGTCGCCTGGTTGCCCTCAGGGGACCCTCAAACACTGTCCCCCAGAAGGCACAGTCTGCAGGGGAGAGACTTCCTCACCTGGGCAGAAGCCAGAATCTGGTCCCCAGGGGCTCAGGAACTCAGCATCAGGCACCACTCAGGGATGGCTTTAACGTGCTCCTCTTCTATTTTAGTTTTGGGGTGGGTGCCCTAAAGGGCTGTGCATGTGCCCTCCACACCTGGAGGTCTCTCCCCTTTCCTTCTTTTATGTTTCCTGCCTGACTCCTGAGCCACCTGACTTTTCACTGCTCTTGCATGTGCACACAGAGACAAACAGAAATTGGTCACAGGCTTAGGAAGCCCAAGTCAGAAGGCAAAAGTCAGGGCAAAGTTGGAAGGACTGCAGGCCCATGTGTGGGCTCCTTGATGATGCTCCACCCATCTATCCATTCACCACCCATCCACTCATCCACCCATCCACTCATCCATCCATCCTCCATCAATCTACCCATCCACCCATCCTCCATCTATCCATCCATCCATCCACCCATCCACCCATCCAGCCACCTTCCATCTATCCATCCATCCACCCACTGAACATCCACCCACACAATATTTTCTGAGCCAGTGCTAGGTCCTGGGTGGCAATACACCAAAGATAAAGAGGCAACTGTCCTGCCACCTGGAAGTTTCTCTTCTCATGGGAAAAAGGCACCTACAGAGTGTTGAAAGAAACAGAGGTCAAACAGATCTGGGGCGATTCTGCTCAGCAATCCTCTGGGTTTGTGACCTGGCACATGAAGCTCAACTTCTCTGAACTTGATTTTCTGATGTGGAAACTATGGAACGCACCTTGTGGGGGCTCTGTTAAAATCAAAAGTGCCGTTGCTCTGTGTAACCTGAACCCTGATTTCCTCTGACTATGGGGTGGACAATGCCACAGCATCCTGCCCTTCTCTGTGCAAGGATACCCTCCCTCCAGGCCCAGACGAGCTCTCCCGGAGAGAAGTGTGCAGAATCAGAGCCCAGCTCTGCCCTTGCACCAAGACACTGATATTCAAGCCTGCGTCTGAGGAGCTGGATTGGGGGTCGGGGAACAGACACACAAGCAGCCACCCGGTAAGCTGGCTAGGGGGCAGTAACAACAGATTGCTACTGGTGCTGAGAAGACCCGTGTCAAAGTCGTCCAAGACCAAGGCTGGACATCGCATGACCATCATGCCTACTACGGTCACGTCCCGCCCGAGTGCCCGGAAGGTCTGGGGCCATGGGTACAGAGAGGCGCATCTGTGCCGAGGTCCGCAGGGAGGAGGAAAGGGCGGGACGTCCCTGGACGGGGCTCTGAGTGGGTGCACGTGGAGGAGGCGCCCAGGACACTCCCACCCTGCACGATGAACACTCAGAGACAGGAAAGGGTGGTTTGGGACTTGGCCCTGCTCTGTCCCCACCCTGTGAGCCTGGCGGGGTGTCCTCACCCAGGAGCCAGAGCCTCTGAGGCTGGTGTGGAGCCTCCCTCCTGTGAGCTCAGCCCCCAGGTGCAGCAGAAAGTGGATTTGCATCCGCACCCCAGAGTCCTGCACCAGAGCAGCCAAAGTCGCAGCTTGTGACGAAACCACAGCAGGTCGGGGCCACATGAAGGGGCCCAAGACTCAAGCGCCTGACCGGGATGCACGGGACACACTGCCCTTCCAGGGCCATGGTCGCCGAGGGCTCCACAGCGGCCTCCAGGGTCTCTGACTGACGGGCATCAGGGTGGTGCTGGGCACACTGCTGCACCCCTTGTGGTCAGGGGGTGTCCCCACTGCTGGCGAGAGGGCTGCCCTGCCGATGTCCTCGGTGTCAGCTCGGAGCGGCCGGTGCCCTGCAGATGAGGAGGCGGGAGGGACGCTCAGGTCAACATGCAGAGGACACTGTGCCGGCTGCTGTCCACGCCCCGCTCTCCACCTGCCCCGCGCGGTGGTTGCTGCCCTTCCAGTCTCCTTCCAGGTCCCCAAGCATCTCTGTCCCACTGGCTCCGGGAGGACCCGGGAGGCTCGGGGACTCAGGCCAGGCCCTGCTCAGCATCTCCCACCCCGTGAGCAGCAGAGGGCCCCTCCTGACCCCACTCGGCACCTGGGGGATATGCCACCCCCAGCGACACTCCCCCGTGTCCCCGCCCCGCCCACGCACGCAGACCTCGGCACCCGCCGCGACACCTGCCGGGAATTTACCAGACACCCGCTCCAGGCCGCATCACAGCCCCGCCCGGGCTGACGCCCTCTCGCTGCCCGCTGCCCCTCTCAACTCCTCCCTGGCTCTGAGGTGCTGCAGCTTCCCAGGACCTCCGTGGACTTCACGCCGACTCACTGCCCAGCCCCGCGTGGCTCGCCTACCCGTCCTCCGGACCTGTGCATGCTGCTGCCCCGCACGTGGCTCCGAGATTGTTCGAAACGCCCAGCTTCCTGCAAGGCCGCCCTTCTGACAGCCGGCTGCATCGCCTCCCACCTGGCCGGTCCCTAGGCCCACTTCCCAGAGCCAGGGCCTCTCCACCGCCGGAAAGTCTCCTTTGCAGTTTATGACACTCTTTATAGCTCCAACTACGTCTGGCCCACGGAGTTTATGGTCAATACGAGTGAGTGATGGACTCCCGCTCTCCTCCCTCTGTCTCTGTCTCTCAGCCCTCGCAACACAGGCTACAGAGGCCTCGGGACGCCGCTCCCCGGCGACATCCACAGACAGCCCAGGCCCGCCGTCCTCTGGGGCGGGACGTCCGATGTCCCCCGTGTTTCCCTTCCTGTTGGGCCACGCTTCCCTCCCGCCTTCCTGAAGGGTCCTAGCACTGCCCCACTTCCTCTTCCTCTGTGGGCGGGGCCTCACCCGGTAAGCCGCGGACCTGAAGGACAGCCCGGCTCGCACCCCGACACTGAGGCTTGCCCATCACATTTCTATTAGAGAAAGCGAGGGGTGCAGGGGACTTTCCAGGACACAGCCCAACCCTCCGAGCTGCGCTGGAGGCACATCGATGACCCTGCCTGCCCTCTGGGGCCATTACAATGGGCAGAGCCGGAGCGGCACCCCTGTCACCAGCACTCTCCGCAGCTCCCTCACTCCGGTGCCGGAACCCAAACTGGCCCCGTGTCGGCTTCTCCTTGCTCTCCTGTGACCGGCGTTTATCTCGGCGGGCGCCTGCTTCCCAACAGGCCATGGCAGTCTTCCCATTTAGCAGTCTTGTGACCAACTTGGGAGAATCTGTCTTCCAGGCTCTGCAGACAGCAGCTGAGCGGCTGTGTATAAATGTGGGCTCTGGCAAAGCCCCTGCTGGGAGCCCAGCAGCCGCCCGCAGGTGCAGGCAGAGGGGACAGTGGCCCCGCGGGGAGCGGAAGTCCAGCTGTCCCCACAAGCAGCCACCATGGCTCTGGCATCTCCGGGGCCTACGGTTGCGGTTGGGCCCCTCCACACCTCTGCTCTCCCGTCCGTAGGAGTAGTGGTTCAGAGCTCACCCGTCCATTCTACAGATGCCTACTGAGCACCTACTGTGTCCCAGGAGCCCTGCGGGGCCCAGCAGGAAAAGGTGCAGGGAGCTGGCGCCACAGTGGGAAGAAGCGGGCCCAGGGCGCTCTGCATCGGACCGGCCCTGAGCGGGGGTTGGGCCCCAGGGCAGCTGGAGGGGAGGAGAGGGGTCTCCTGGCCAGGCTGGTGAGGACTGTGGGCCACTCGCTGAGTGCAGAGCTTCCTCACCCCTCGACAGCTGGCTCTGCACCCCACAAGCACCTGACGACAGTCCAGAGCTGGGAGAGGGCGCTCAGGCCGACTCCCCGAAGACCCCCAGGCCCCAGCCTTCGCAGAAGGGCAGGGAACCGTGATGGTGCGTGGTTGTCACTAGAGAACGGCACTTGCCTCGGGCTCCACCGTGCACCTCACCCAGGGCTCTGAGGAGGAGGAGGAGGAGGAGCAGGAGGAGGCCGGGTCGGAGTGAGCTGAGCACCTCTGGGCCCAGTGGTCATGGCCAGGCCACCCTGGCTGGGCCACGTTTCTGCCATCTCTGGCCCCGTCCTCTTCTGCAAGCTCCTCCTGAGGCACCAGACGTGGTGTCTGGACCCCGGGAAACAGAGATTAAATGTTAAAACCCAGAGAAGCCTCATTCGCAGTGAGTGCTCTCCAGCACGCAGTTTAATGAGCCCACACACTGACAGAGACAGCGACTTCCGGCAGCACGGGGCCCACTGAGGGCCTAGGTAATCCACGAGGACAGGGCTCAGGGGCACGCTTCGGGGTCCCGGGTCCCCAAGAGCATGGGCTGGGAGGGTGGGTGGGAGAGCTGGGGCAGGACGTCTTCGATGCTGACCACGATGGGCTGGAGCTGAGAGGGCAGCCTCGCCCTGCAGGTCTTCCTGCCCTTCCACCCCTGCGGAGGCTGGCACCGCACAGAGGCCCGAACCTCGAGCAGGCCCTCAGGCATGGACTCCAGTGCACCCCCCCACCGCCCCCCAACCCCGGCCACATGAGCTTCTGTTGTTTATAAGTCACCAGCTCCGAAGAGCAGTTACAGCAACAGAAACCAGCCAGAGGCACTCGGTGTTTCCAGGCTCTGCAGAGGGAGGGCGATCCAGGGACCCCACCCTGCTTGTCCTTCAGGGTTGGGAACGGAAGTGGTGCCCAGAAGCAATGCACCCTGGTCAGTGAGTGCTCGCTCCCCTCCTCCCCTCCCCTCCAGGGGACGCAAATGGATTTTGATCTGATGTGGGCATACAGCCTGGTGCTGCCAGATGGGGTAAATTGAAGGAAGTGGAGGAAGACAGGAGAGCTCCGTGTGGCGACACTAATGTTTGGATCTGGCTCACCGTGCACAGCCACGCTCTCGGCTGTGGTCTACATGCCTCTGGCCTGCACTCTCAGCCAGGCTGCTCCGACTGTGTCGCAGTTCCTGGGCTGGTGTGGGCTGGAGCACAGCAGGAGGCTGACGCCTGGGTGGTCCTGCATGGATGAAGACAGAAAGATAAACTTCCCGTGGTTTATCTCCACTGAGCAAGCTTCAGGGTCCCTGGGGCATCTAATAACATCACCTGTTAGAGACTGCAGTAGTGAGTTAGGATTCTATGGAACAGATTCAATGTAAACACACGTGTGCTTACACACAGGGCTTGGGAAGTGGGCTGGCAGGATCAGAAGCAGAAGAGTCACAGTGGCATCTGCCAGATCAGGTTGTAAGAACCCAAAGTGGCGAGCTGCACGCCTGAGAGCCAGAGGATCCAGAAGCAGTCGGGGGTGCAAGGCCTGGACTTGCTGCAGAGTCGCAGGCGGGAGCCGTGTTGGAAAGCCACATACTCTGCATTGGAAGGCTGAGGGAACTGGAGACCAAGGTCCAAAGGCAACAACACAGATGAGGACACCTCCAGAAAAGGGAAACACACCCTTCTTTCTCTTTTTATTGCATCTAAGCTACAAGCCTATTGGTTGGGACCACCACAGTCGGGGTGGGTCTTCCCCTCAATTTGGTGGCCTACACATCAATCATCCACAGACACACCCAGAGCCTACTAATCTGCTAGGCGGTTCTTACTCAAGTCAGGTTGACATAGCGCAATGAGCAACACGGGGATATAATGTACAATTATAATACAATTATGAGAACATCAGTTTTGTGTCCAGCACTCCTTCAGTCTAAATGGACATTCCTCAGTATTTGGTATTCCAGTCCCCTGTCTCCCATTCTAGAAGCTTCTGGCCAGAGTCAACTGAAGTGGTGTCTGTTGCTTGAAAGCAAAGGACACTGTGGCTTTCAAGGCTCACCTGGAGTTTTTTTAACCCGAGGAGTCTCACTGTTTGGTAATGCAGCTCCACGAGGGCAGTGAGAGTGAGGTGAAGAAGCTAACAGAAAAACTGAGTCATAGGATGGCCAGAACTTTCCCGACACACCCTGGGCAGCCAGAGCTAACAGCAGGTGACTGTTAGGGTTTAGATTTAGAGTGTCCCCCAAATTCTCATGTACCTAAAAACAGTGCTTTTGGAGGATACTGTATTTATCCACTGCTCAGTCTGGTGACTGAGTGTGCTGTCAGAAGGTGGGGCACGGTCAGGAGGGTGAATCATTGTGGGTGTAATCTGCAACGATGTCTCTTCCTCCCTAGTTCCCCCCTCTCTCTGTTCCCCAGCCACCATGAATGAGCAGCTCTTCTCTGTGGCAGGCCATTCCACCATGCCACTTTCTGCATTGGAACCAGCCAATCCTAAACTGAAACTTATGAAATTGTGACACAAAATAAAACTCTCCTTTAAGTTGTGAATGTCGCCTTTAAGTTTGTCCCAGCAACAAGAAAGTGACTAAGACAGATTTTGATGCTAGGAATGGGGTCACTGCTGTGACTACCTTACCATATGGTTTAGAAGCCTTTGGAACTGGTTACCAGCAGGAATTTGGAAAGTTTTGTAGATGCCAGCTAGAAAAGCCATAGAATGCTATAAGCCAAGCTCAATGGGAGATTCTGGCCAGATCTCAGAAGACCAGAATGCACGTAGAAATGTAGACAGTGAAGGCCAGAGTCAGGTTTCAGCCGGGAACAAGTACTCCGTTCAGCTAGAGGCCATGTATGTTATGCTCTGGCAGAAAATGTGTCTACTTTTTGCCTATGTCCTGAGACATCAGGGGAGACTGAGAGTCAGGGTGGCAGACTAATTAATCTGGCTAAGGAAATGTCCAGGTGCCCCAACATTCAGGCTGTAGTATGGGCACTGTTGGCAGCCTTTAGTCAGATGGCCAGAAGGGTCACCCAGGGAATTGGTTCCCTGGGAATCAGTTCGCAGTGCTCAGCCATTCAGCACTCAGAGTCTTCTGCAACTGTGATTCAAGGGGGCCCAACTACTGCTCCAGCTGGCATCATCCACAAGGTTCTGGTTTTATGCACATGCAGAGTGCAACAATTGTGGCATGAAGGAAGCGTCTATCTAGACTCCAGAAGGAGGTCAGGCAGTGTGCCCCTGAAAGGGCAGTACATGAAGCTGTGAGAGTGAAAACCAAAAGTGCAGTGGAGACCCCAAGAACTGAGAGAGGCCAGGAACAGAACCTTTACTGGGAAAGCCTCGGATGGTGAGTACAGCACCCCCAAGAGAGCAACCGTGAGGGCTGCAACTAGCATCGCAGCTGGGGCACAGCTGCCCAAGCCCCTTGGGGCTCACATCTGGCCAAAATGCCCTGGGTGCTGGACATACAATTACAGGATTTAAAGTTTGCCCTGCGGGACTGTGGCCAGCTTTGGTCCTATTCCTCTCCATCCCCGTACCCCTCCCTTTTGATTTTTAGGGGCCTGATATCTAAGAGTTTGCCTTGAGTCTCAGAGAAGACTTTGGACTTGGACTTCTCAGCAATGCTGGGACTGTCAAACACTTAGAGATGAACTAAATGAATTTTACTTCAAGGAATGTGTGTCTTTTGAGAGCCAGGGCAGAATGTTATGATTCAGACCTAGAAAGCCCCAGGTCCTCAGGCACCGAGAGGTGGGGGCTCTGAAGGCTGATTGGACCTTGGAGTCCTGTGCTCATCAGTGGGTTCGTCACTGGTCAGGAGAGTGGCTGAGTGTGGTCAGAAGAGGTGAGTCCTTGCATGTCACTGCAGTGCATCTCCCCCCATGGCTCCTCCCTTCTCTCGCTGCTTCCTGGCCACTGTGATTGAGCTCTGTCCTCCACCATGACATTTCTGCATTGGAACCAGCCAATCATGGACGGAAACTTAGCAAACTGTGAACCCAAACAAACTTGGTCTTTTAAATTGTGGATGTTGAGTATTTTGTCCCAGCAACAAAAAAGTGACTGAGACAGTAACAAAGAACAACGTGGGCCTGATGCATAAGAGCTTGGGCATCAAGCAAGGACAAGAGGACACACTTTCCTGCACTGACATGACACTGCCCTGCTGCACCTCCAAATAAAGCCATCAGGACCACAACTGATTTCCAGTGTGGCACCAAATGTGACGCGGAGTGGAGTCTAAGGTCCACGGCGTGGCTGCCCACCCCCGCGGGGTCAGCACCTCTTCACAATCCACCACTGCCTCCCCAAGCACAGGCACGGACAGGGTCGAGCTGGTGTCAGAGGGCAGACCCTTCATCTGGACCTGAGCAGCCGCCTAGAAGGGCAGCTTCAGAAGGGCTGGGGTGGGGAGGCAGACTAGTGTCTAGAAGGCATTGAGAACTCTCTAATTTCAACAGTAAAATACGAACAGGCCACCTGGAAAATGGGCTAAGTACAGGCACAGATGTTTCCACTGAAGGGCATGCAAGTGGCTGATAAGCCCACGAAAAGGTGGTCAACATCGGGAAGGTAAAATGTTGCAGCCATCCTGGAAAGCAGTCTGGCAGCCCCTCAAAAGAGCAGATGAGGTGACGATGCAATCCACCTGTTTGTCACCCAGTGAAGAAGATTTCTGGTCTCACAGAAACGTAGACACAAATGTTTAGAGCAGCTTTAGTCCTGGTAGCCCAAACTTGAAACACCCCAGGTGTCCATCAGCAGGTGGTGGGGAGACCCATCACAGGGCACCCGTGCTGCAGGTGCTGTTCAGCAGTGGAAAGGAATAGATGGTGGCATTGCAAAACCGTGGACAAATCTCCAGGGAACTGTGCTGACAGGGAAAAGCCAGTGTGGAGGTTTGCACATGTTTCCCACTTAGTTAATTCTTCTGAGTAATGGGAGGTGGAATAGTGGGGGCCTGGGTAGCAGTGGGGTTGTGGTATTGGAAGGAGGCAGATGTGATTATTTAAATAAGCAGTGAAAGGAAAGGTTCACGGTTTGACTGTAGTAGAGGATATAGGGACTCAGACGGGTGACAGGACTAAGACACACACTCTTATGACTTGTATCTAAGTGTCCCCTGAAGCCTCATGCACTCATTGGCGGGGCTTCTGGCAGTGACTGAATCGCGAGTGCATGACAGTGGATTAGTGCACCCAGGGTTTATAGCCGGGTGCAATGTTGAGAGGTGGAGCTGGTGTAAGAGGGGTCACTGTAGGCGTGGCCTGCAAGAGTCAGTCTCCCTCCTCCTCCTCCCTCCCAGCCCGGTTACTTTCTGCTGCCATGCCATGAGCTCTCCCCTCCACCATGTCTCTATGCCGTGCCGCCCACCTTGGAGCCAGCTGATAGGGACTGAAGCCTCTACAAAGTGTGAGCTGAAATAAAACTGTCCTCCTTTCACTTGTGACTGCCAGGTATTGTGTCCCAGCAACAAGAAAGTGACTAAAACACACACAGATGCAAGATAAGGAAAGATAAATAAAATGGGGGAATCTGAGTGAGATCACTGAACTGCATCAGTGTCAATATCCTACACGTGACATTGTGTTATGTGTGACATTTTGTAGAATGTGAAGGGTATGTGGAACTCCTCTACGTTTTATCTTACAATAGCACATCAACCTCCAGTTTGATGCCACAATTTTAAAAATAGGTCCCTGGGAGGTGTGGTGGTGCACACCTATAATCCCAGCACTCAGGAAGCTAAGGCAGGAGGATCACCATGAGTTTGAGGCCAGCCTGAGCTACATAGCAAGACCCTGTCTCAAAACAACCAAAAAAATAAAAATCATTAAAAACAGGTCCTCTTTGCTTTGAATGATTCTGCAGTGCACTAATTTCAGCCGCACTGGTTTAGTTCATGAGCGCCAGTCCCCAGCAACATGGCTCAGGTTTCACAGACCACGGTGTGGGAATGTGACTGGCCTACAAGTACAGTTCACCGCCAGGGAGAGCCACAGGTAAAGAACAGACGCACACAACAGTCAGTGACAAATCCTGTGACCTCCTCAAAGTTGGTTATCGATGGGTCTTAGGGCTCCGTTACTTCGCTCACACTCACAAGGCAAAGGGGCCACCTCAGTCCTCTTGTCTCTTCCCAAAACAACATAGGAAAAGAAGATCAAAATAAACCCCATGCAAAAAGAAGAAAGGAAATAAAGAGTAGGAAGCAATGACATTGTAAGCAGGAAAACGAGAAAAATCAATAAAAGAGTAAGTCCTTTGTCTCCTCCAGGATTGGTCAGATAAAATTAGCAAATGAAAATTGTATATATTCCTGATGTTCAACATGATGCTTTCATATAGGTACAGCTTGGGACAAAAACAATTGGCTCTTTGAAACTATCAATGAATTTGACAAATTTTTGCAAAAATAGAGAAGAAACAATTTGCTACTGTTAAGAATAAAGCAGGAGATAAATCAGGACCCTACAGACCCCTGAGAGCAGGTTCTGGTAAACAGTCTGCACTCACAGACAAATCCTAGGAAAATACAAATTACCACAACTCACCCTAGATGAACCACATAATTTGATTATCTCTGCAACTATTAAAGAAATTGAATCTATAATTAAATATTGTTGAATACAAAGTTTCCAGGGGAGCCCACAGGAGCACTCTAACAAAGCCTAAACAGAAATTGGTATTGACTTAAAAATGTTTCCTGGAAATAGAAAGTGAGGAAACATTTTCCAGATTATTTCAGAGGTTAGTGTTGCCCTGACACAAGAATAACAGAGAAAAAAAGCATACAAATGAAACAAAACCACTACCCTCCTGAACACAGACCACATGTTGGCAAACACATCTCAGCAACACTGATTGATACACAGTGGCTGAGGGAGTCTGCTCCAGAGATGCCAGACTCCAGACTCGCTCAATAACTGCAAATCCATAAGCAGAACCATCATGCTGACAGATTCAAGGGGAGAGAGATGGGAATGTGCCAGCTGGCTCAGGAAACGCCACACAGTGGTGCTGTGGACAGAGTGTGGAAGTCAGGAGGAGAAGGTGGGGGGGGGGGGAGAAAGAGGAGGAGGAGGAGGAGAAGGCTCCTGGGACTTCCCAGCCTCCAGAATTGTGAAAGGTAAATGTGTAGTGTTTAAGCTTCCCAGTCCATGGTATCTTTGTTATGGCAGAGCAAATGGACTAAGACAATGGAATGGACTGACTAGGGTAGCAGGAATGGGGTGGATGGGATAGGATGGGTGAATGGATGAACAGGAGGCTGGCAAGATGTGGGGGTGGATGGAATGAGGTGGATGTAGTGGTAGAAATGAAGTCAAGGTCACTTGCAAGGATACTTCTTTGACATCACTTCTGTCCATAAAGCAGATTGAGCTTTTCCTCTGTGATTTTCTCAGTAAGATCACAACCTTGGCAGCAACCAGCATTTCATGAACATAAGTGTTGCTCCCCAAGCTGCTCCTGCAAACAAAACAGTGGCTCGGGTTCTGAGGCACATGAGTCACCATCAGGCAAGGGCAGTCTTTAGAAAGGTACGTGGACCGTGTGCTTCCACACCACCTCTGACACGGTCATTCCCGTAGTGAAAAGGAGAAATTCACTGCACAAGGAAGCAAAGTGAGGAGACCCTGGGCCAAGGTCAGGGCTCACTCTGAGCTCCACCAGGCACAGGCACTGCTGTCCTTGCTGCTGGCAATCACGGGCGGCATGAGAGCTGGACCATCTCTCCCCTCCCCGGAATGCATGTCTGCTCCTTTGAACTCGACCCTCCTTCTCAGGGGTGCACTGCTGTGTGCTGCACGCTACGCTACACCAAGATCCGCTTGGCCTCAGATGCCCTTGCTCTGTGAGACCTGCCCCTCCCACCAGGGCTTTGCTGCCACAGATCAAGAAGGTGAAGGCCATGCCGTGCCGGGGGTGAGGATGCCAGTCAGGCCACCACCTCATCTTCAGAGATTCTTATGCGATCACACAGAAGGGCAGCTGGAGGGAGAGAGGCTCCCTGGCTGGGTGGAGTGGCTGGAGAGGGGGCTCCAGAGCCCGCCAGGGAAACGCCTTTGTAATCCACAGCCCTTGCAAACCTCAGAGACAAAGGGAAAGGACTGCAAATGGCAAAGGAGGTTGCTCAGCTGGAAGCTGGGTTTGGAATTTAATATATCATTCAAATGATGGAGACAGTGATCTTTGCGGGGGATGAAATTCTCAATTCGTTATTGAATGCTATAGCCTGATTCTGGCACCTACAAGGGAGACCCCTTGCAGAATTGAAATATCACCCTGGCCACAAGTAACAGACAATCCAGTTGAGGCCCAGCAGGACGTGCAGGCAGCTGCCCTGTAACAGACTCAGAACAACAGGTTCGAATCCCAGTGCCTCCTTGTGTATGTGTGTATGACCTTGGGCCAGCTGCCCGGCAATGGTGTAACTGGCGGGAGTCTGCTGCTCTGTCCCCGGAGTGCCTCAGTTCCCATGCACGTTTCTGATTTTTAAATTCATCCCCTTTCAGAAGAGCAAGATTGCTGTGGACACAGGCCAGCTCTCTTCTGGGCTTGGAGCTCAAGAGGGGAATCGCCCTCTACCGACAGTCCTCAAAAGCCACAGGAAGGAGTCCTGCTGTGTTAACGTAGCAGCACAAACAGACGCAGCAAGCCAAGGTGACGCTCAAGGTAACCGAGGACCCAGGGAACAGACACCGACCAACTGGATTGGAGTCAGCACAGCATTCTCAGTGCCCAGAGCGTGGACCTCGGGATGGGGAGGGAAGTGAGTGATGGGTTTCCATGGAGATGGTGATGCTAAAGGGCCCTGGTGAGAGGAAGGGCAGCAAGGACTCAGCTGCACATGGGCCACAGGGACCCAAGGCGACCACCAGGATGTGGTTTCCATGGCGATGTGGTGCTGGAGAGCCTTTCACTACCCAGAGGGGCAGCAAGACTCGGCCCATCGCCCTCCCCAGGGCTGCATTCCAGGCTGTTTGGTTCCCCAGAAAGATAAAAATCCTGATTCCTAGGTGGAATCTCCTAGTTTGTAGCATTTTAAGACTCATTCAAGTGTAGAAAATAAACAAAAACCAATGCACAAGCTGACTCGTTCAGGACAGAACTGTCTCCGAGCCTTCCCTGGGCACAAGATCCTGGCAGAGGAGACGGCCCACCCAGCTGCGTCCTCACACTGAGGTTCAGAGCAGGTGACACCGAGCGGGAAAGGACACTGCGTCACACGAGCCGCTCCTACCCCTAGGCGCACACCAGCTAGCAGATCATCGCGGTGCATGTCCAGTGGGAAGAGCCAGAGGCACACAGCCCTGGGTGTCCACATCCATCCCACCAGCCCTCCTGCTCGGCCAGCGTGCGGGGTCCGCGCCCTGGTGACTGCCACCTCCAATACCCACTGCACTGCCTCATCCACCCACCCGGGGGCTGCTGCCACTCTGGCACCCCCATCCCCTGTGAGTGCCCCATCCAGTCCTCACAGCTGTCCTGTGAAGCCCATCTGTGTACCCCACCCCCAAGGGAGGTGGCTTTGGGGGACAGGGAGTGATACCGGTGACAGAGGTACTCCGCTGCTTCTGTCTGCTGGAGCCTCGGGCTGGGAGCAGCACACAGCCCACACTTCTGTCCACACTGTCCACAGTCCACGCTGTCCCTGGTCCTCCATCCCATGCCCCCAGGATGGGACAGGGCCCTCACAACAGGGCACCCCGCAACGCCCATCCAGCCAGGCAGAGTGGAGCTCCTGTTCATCTGGTTTTCCACTTCTCAACAGCCATCGCCGGGGCTTGTGGGCCAGGCCAGCGGGGCGCCTACTGTCCAGGGCCACTCAGCACAAGCCCCCTTTCCACCAGCACACAGCTGGCAGCAGCAGAAAGCTCCCTCTGCTTTGTCAAAAATAAACAAGTGAGTGAGGGGCCTGACCCCAGGAGGGCCTGTCTGTCACATCCAAATCATACCCGAATCCCTGGCGCCCCGAGAGCCTGCACACCCAGAAGGCTGGAGGCCTTCACACGGGGGCCACCTTAGAATTCTGCACAGCCTGCTGGGACCCCAAATGCTCCAGGGAAGCGCCAGTCACCCAGGCAGGCCACAGGCTGCTGGGGACCAAGGAGGTGTACCCAGCTCCTCTGTCCTCCTCCTCCTCTGTCCTCCTCCTCCCCCTCCAAGGAGCCAGTGCAGCCCACTCTGTGGATTTCAGTGAGATTCAAAGAGAAAAAACCTTCCTAAGGCCTGGCTGCATTTGAATCTCTCCACACACAGAATCAACTTCTGTCTTGGCCAGAGAGCCCGCTGCCCAGGAAGGAAAATTAAATCCTAAACATGAAGAGTCAGGCTGAGCAGCGGGGGTGGGAGCGGGTCGGGGAAAGAGACACAGCTCCAGGCAGCGGCCAACCTGATCCAGTCCTCAGAGCACCGGGGTTTACCTGCGCCAGGCTCTGTGAGGGGGCCCGGGAGACTGACAGGCCCGAATCGCCTCTGCAGGTGGACTTTTCAGAAGCTTGACTCCCCGTGTGTTGCAGATCACTGAAACAAAGGACAAAAGGAAAAATCTAAGAGAAGGAGAAATAGGCATCATCTTCAGAGCTTGCTTTGACTTTCTAAGTGCCGCGTGCTAACTGACTAAGCCACCGGAGCTCCTGCTTTGACTTTTAAAAATTGCCTGCGTTTAATCCCAGTCTGGCCAAATGAAAGTGAGCAAGGGTTTCTCTCCGAAGTGCAAAACTCCTCAAAGCCTCGGGAGAATCTCTCTGGATGAGCACCCTGGAGCCCCTTGGCTCTGCAATGGAATCGCCGGTCTCTCAAACCCTTCTGGGCACCTTGCCCCTCTCCAGCCCCAAGGAATTGCTTCTTTCCCCTCCCCATTCTGTTATTTCTAGAAGAATCTGGCCCAGAAGCAAGGGGGTCCCCACTTCCCTGCCCAGCAGGATTCCTTAAGGTTCCAAACCAAGCACAAAACAACAAAAAATCACTTTCGTCTCCCAGGGTTATTTCTGTTCTGTTTCATCTATTATTCTCTCGGAACTTGCAAGGTTGTGATATTTCTCCAGCCTTTCCGTGGACGCCCTGGCTCCAGCTGTGGTGGCTCTTGTCTGGAGGAACCACTGTCAAGCCCCGGCCACCTCCCCCTGGCTGGATCCGACCCAGACACCATGGGACTGAGGTGTCCACACCTGCCCGGAGTCGACCCTGCACCCACACCAGCTTTTCTAAGTGGGTTTTGCCCTCCTCTCAAACTGACCAGTGGAGCTGAGCCAGGTCCAGCCCTGCAGTGCCACCTGGGCCAGGTGACCTTGGGGAATCCTCAGGACAAGGATCAGAGTGGAAGAAGTGAGTGATTTGTCTACCCCACTGGTGGTTACTCCTGCACACTCAGGTCGTCCTTGTTTGAGTCTATTTCATCTTTTCAGAGATGTTGTGAGCCAGCTGAAGTAAGATTAGCCATCCCCTGAGATTCCTTCCAGCTCTGAGGCTCTGGCTTTATGGAATATTAAACAGGCTGTGGACAAACAGGCTGGATAGGGAGGTATTTTGTGAACTCTAAAATGCAAACAACTTAAGAGCCTTCCACATCTCTGCCTTGTCCACTCTCGTGGGGCATAAGTGCCCCCAGGAGGGTAGCCAGGTGGGGGCCTGTGGCCCAACCTGTGTCCAGTGGCCACCACCAGAGCCTGCCACACACATGCAGCTACCCAGCACCGGTGTGGGGGTCACTTGGGCCCGGAAGAGGCCTCCAGAGTGCCCTCTCCTTCACTCTGTCTTTCTCTTCTTCCTCAACCCAGGAGTTCTTCTGATTGCTCTCCCTTCTTTGTGTGTAGAGCTGCAGATCCAGGCACAGCAGAGGAAGTGCCACCATTACATCACTGCAACCTTGAGCAATGTTATGGCTCAGATCTAAAGAGGCCCCTGAGCTGGATGTGCTTGGAAGGTGACTGGATCATAGGGTTTGTTCCTGACTTCCTGCTCAGGGCTGGGGTCTGGCCCAGAGGCGGGTCACTGGGGGTGGGGCCTAGAAGGGTGCGTCTCCCTCCCCAGCTCCCCCCTCTCTTTCTGCTTCCTGACTGCCATGCTGGGTAGCTTTTCTCCACCCAGAATCTCCCACCATGCTGCCCACCAAGCAAGGACTGAAACTTCTAAAACATGAACCGAAATAAACGCCTCCTCCTTGAAGGTTGAGTGTTGGGTATTTTGCCCCAGTGATGAGGAAAGTGACGAGGTTGAGGAGTTAACAGTCCTGGGGTCAGAGCTGCGGTCCTCTGGTTTCTCCCAACAGCTCAACACCCGTAGTCTGTTGGGTTTGTATTTGCTTATTTCTCCACCTGCCAAGAATCTCTGGGAGACACTGAACACAGCCCTATCAGTACCTCGCATGACCAGACACTTCCGTCTTCCTGTGACAAAACTGGGCGGTAGGAACTAGATGCACAGAGCCTAATCTTAGATGTCCACTGCAAAAGCCATTAAAATAGATGAATAAGAAGCTGAAGGCCCTCAGTTAGTAGCACTGCAGTGGGAATGTTCGTGTGTCCCTCTGCAAATGTTTCATAGTGAGATGGGCTGGTTTTGATCAAAAATGCACTGGGGCTCACGGCTTTGTTCCTCTGGAGTCGTATGTGCTATGAGTTTTGTCATCAGTTTTATTTGCATTTAATAGAGATGAATTCAGTGGACAAACGAGATAGAAATAAAAATGCATTACAGGCATTTTTTGAGGTCATGGGTCTGGCTTAAGCAACCCTGAGAATAAACAGGCGTCTGCTCTGTGTTTGCAGCAGAGCTGGTGGTGTCTGCACAGACATCAAGCTCCTGGGTGGCTCACGCAGGTGGCTCATTCTGGAAATTTCTGCTAGAATTGGAGGGAGACCTGAGCAGGGCATCCCAGGTCCCGTGTGACCCCTGGTGCTTGGGTGTTTCCGGGAACAGAAACACATGCCAGTCTCCAAAGGGAAGCCTGGGCCTTGTGGTCCCTGCTCTCATCCTGTGTGCAAAAGGCATCCTCAGGCCAGTGGACAAGGTCAGGCCCAGAGTCAGGATCAGAGAGACGGGAAATGAAAATCTCCCTTGCCCTCTGGGGCAAGTCGGTGCATGTAATTTTGATGCCCCTGAAACCTGATTTGCACTGGTTGTGCTGGGGTCAGGGCAGGGGCCGCAGCAGCGGAGGAGCCTGTGAAGCAGGCCTCGGTGTTCTTCCCAGCATGGGGTGAGCAGCGCAGGTCAGCAGGGGAAGCAGCTGACGCTGAGACCACGTGGAGTCAGGGGCAGCCCAGCCCAGGGAAGCTTTAGAAAACTTGGCCTCCAAATATATTAACACTGCCTTAGATCCCAGCGGCTTTAAATAAATGGCAGCGTGAGAGGCACTTTTGGAGAGGATGAGGCATAGAAAACAACACTGTCCACTGTCCACAGTGGTCTTGGTCCGGTCCAGGAGCCTGAAACTTCACCCTGTGCCATAGGCCGCACAGGGACAAACACTCCCACCCCTGCCAGGCCCCTTGGCCCCCTGGAACAGGGTCCTCCTCCTCCTAAGGCCCTGACGCGACGCGTCCCCGTGGGACCCCACGTCCCGGGCGAGGTGATGGCCCTCAGCCCTTCCGGAGCCCTTGGGCGTGGCGACTCTCTGGAGCTGCTCCGCGCGGGTCCTGGGCTGCGTGGGGGGAGGGCTGTGTCCGCGCTGCCACCTCCTGCTCAGAGCCGAGCGCCCCACCCTGGGGACCTCTGTCGTCACCCTCGTGCAGCCTCAGGTCGCGTGCTGACGGGTCTTCTGTGACGCACTCCCACACCTGCCTCCCTGGACACCCACACAGCCGCCACCCCACCCAGGCCACCGTCATCTGCCACTGTAACCGGCGCCGGCAGCCTCGTACTGTGCTCGCCAGGAGAGGCTGCTCCCCAGCACGTGCCCAGGACAGCCCCTCCCTGGCTGGTCCCGAGGTCCCCAAGGCCCCCACTCCGGGCTGCCCGCCCTGCGCCCACACCTGGGTGCACACGCACGCGCACGCACACACGTGCACGCCCGCATCGCCGGTGCTGGGCGTCTCACCCGGTCTTCACTCGCACCTCAGTAGCGCCTGGGTACTCACCTTTCTCTCCAGTAGAACCCCGCTTCCAGCTGACTCCCAGTAGAGCTGAAGCTGGAGCCGTGGGCGCTGCCAGGCCTGGGCAGGCTGCAGGGAGGCGTGCAGTGGAGACACTGGATGTGTGCAGGTGAAGCCGGGTGGCGGGCGGCAACCTTCCTGGGGACAGGGTGCTGTCACGGGGGTCATGGTGGGCGGGGTGGGCCCGCTAGGGTGACCTGCTGGAGCTAAGCAGTCTCCACAGGCAGACAGGTGAAGCTGAGACAGGACAGCATCGTGGACGGGGTTCCAGAGAGCACAAGGAAAGCACAAAAAGGAAGGATGGAGGGAGGAAGGAAGGAAAAAGCACCAGGCAAGGAGAGCGCTTCCCTTGCACTCGTGAAAATCATTCTAGGTCTCTGTTCCTTTGGAGCCAGCAGAGGCAGGGAGTGGTGCTGGTGAAGAGCATGGGCTCCACATCTGCATCCACATCAGCAAACCTAGACGAGCCGGGCTCAGCCCGGAGGGGCAGGGCTGCTGACTCACTTTACCCTGACTCCTGCCACAGTGCCAAAGGCCAGGAGCCAAGAGGGCAGTGACCCAAAGCAGTTTTCCTCGCCCTGGATGGGAGAGCAATGGGGTCCAGGCCAGAGGGCTGTGGGATGGGCCCAGCTTGCTCCACACCTGGCCAAGTGACAGTGGAGTCCCCAGAGGACTCTGGGCTACTCCTCCCCCCCAGGGTGCTCCTCCCCCCTCCCCCCTGCAGGGCTTTCTTCCATCTCTCACCCCTCAGGGTCTTCTTCTGATCCATCATGCAGCAGGATCCTTTTCTGATCCCTCATCCCAGCAAGGAAAACTTTCCTTCAATCCTGTGCCCCAGTTCTTTGTGGTGTCCCTGGTCCCCTGTGCTCTCTTTCTTGTCGGCGTGGCCGTCCTCTCCTGTCTCTGTGACTGTGGCTAGATGTGCACATTGCCTCGCTGCACAGGCCTCTGTCTGGCTCCCTCCCTGTCCCTGCTCCCCACTCATGGCCATCAGACCCAGGGCTCTGGGACCCACACGGAGGTGAGCCTGTGAATCCCGGCACCATCTCTATCAGCCTGGGGGCTGATGGCAGGGTCCCCACCTCAGCTGGAAATCCCCCTCAGCCTCCTGCCTGCATCTTAAATTGCAGCATTTTTTAATTAAATGACTTTGCCCCAGGCACTTCACTCAGAAAACAATCCCTCTTATTGCTCATTTTGGGATGGATGTGATAGTGCCTTGACAGGGCCTGTGGCTATGTTAGCAGAAATTAAATGTCTACATCTATGTATCCTGTCTCCCCCGATGTGCGTGCAAACACACACACACGCATGCACGCACGCACACACTGGCCTTTCCGTGGGCAGATCACACCTGACCTCAGCCCCACTGTGGGTCAGTGGAGCCCCATGGGGAACTGTTCATCTGCACTACGGCTCACTGCACAGCCAGATGACCCAGTGGCCAAAAACATCACAAAGCCCTGAGCCCTGTCACAGGCATGGACGTGGCAGGAGCCTTGACAAACGTCCCCACAGTCAGGAAACCCAGAAACCCCCTCGATGTCTCCCGTCACCCGTCCACACATCACCCACCTGCCCTGGGCCCGGAGTGCTGGCTGAGGGTCTGAATCTGGCTGCTCACGCCACAACACACACGGACGGCCCACAGGGACCTCAGACCTGAGTGTGGCCTTAGACAGTGGTCCCAGCACGTCCCATCCCTCCTTCCACAGTGTGACCCCGGAGGGCTGGCAGACACTGAACACAGGGTGCTTCAGCTGCATGCTGGGTCTCCCCAGCACTCCAACAGGGCCTGACCAGCAGGAGGGGGCTGGGAACAGGTGCTGGGGTGACCCAGGCATGGCGGTGCCCTAGCTGTCCCCAGGTCTGAGGCCACCAGGCTTCAGGTCACACGATGAGCATGGGCTCCGCACAGTGACTCACGAGCTGGGGCCACTGAGGGGCTGGGTGGACAAACTGCTCCTGCCCACAAAGCAGCTGGGTCCCCAGTGAGACATCAGGAAACACCCGCCCTGCGAAGAACACACAGCAGACCGAGTCCGAGGCCTAGACCCGGCCCTTTCTCCCCCTGGGCTCAAGCCCTGTCCTGAGGCCCTCGCTGTTCGAAGTGTGGGATTCAGGCCAGCAGTGCCAGGTCAGCAGGGGCTTGTTAGCAACTCAGGGCCTCAGGCAGCCCCTTGCCCACATGCGCAGGAAATTCTGAGAGCATCTGGAAGAATGAGGCAGTGGGAGGAGGAAGGCGGGGCATCCTCCCTGGCTCTGCAGGCAAGTCCTAAGCAAGCAAACCAGGGCAGGGGACGTGGTGACAGCATCCTGGGGCTGGGAACTGACACAGAGCTAGCTATCAGCTCTGGAACACGAAGGCAGGGTCCTGTGCCCAGGAATCAAACCCAGCCATGACCAGAGACCAGGCTTCAGCATGAGGCATCTTGCAGGAAAATGTCCCAACCATGTCTCACCACAATCACCACAGGCCAAGACACACAGAGCCACCAAGTAGATTGTCCGACATGTGCAGGAAGCTGCAGACCACCATAGAGGAAAACATGGGACCCGAGAACGAGACAAGCCTGGCACGGTGGCCCATGCCTGTGATCCCAGCACTTGGGAGGCTGAGGCAGGAGGATCACCACGAGTTCAAGGCCAGCCTGGGCTACACAGTGAGGTCAAGGCCAGCCTGGACTACAAAGTGAGACCTTGTCTCAAAAAACTATAAAACAGGGCCGGGGATTTAGCTCAGTGGTGCTGCTGCCTGCTTCGAAAGCGCAAGGTCCTGAGTTCGATCCCCAGTACCAATAAATAAATAAATAAGAAAAGGTCAAGTTCGTCTGTTAAGCTGGGGGACCCCAAGGGCTATAATAAAGAGGGGACGGCGGAATGGGGGGACCTCATCCAGACCTGGCAGGTCAAGCCAGGGCAGCTCCTCCCTGTCCCTGTCCACCCTCTGAGGCCAGGCAAGGACAGGGCATGTTTCCTGTTTGAGTCTTCCTCCTCAGTTGGAAACTGTTGTTTTTCTTGACTTTCTCCGCCACCAGCCTAGCCTCAAGCTCCCCGCTGGTGACGGGATCCCGCTCCAGACCCCCACTGGCGGCTCTGCCCAGCTCAGCTGGGACACCCTGGAGGCCCTGCCCTGCCCTGCCCTGCCCCTGGCCGAGGCGTCCTCCCTCACCTCCAGCCCCTCCCCTGTCCTGGCCGTGTCCTCTGTGCCTGGTGGTCCTGCTCCCTGAAGACCGCCTTCCACCTCAGATCCGATTGGTCCATTCTAACCGCTCTAACTAACCACAAGCTGGTGGTTCTTGACACACGAAACTTGATTCTGACGGCCCTGAGGTTGAGTCCAAGGTCCAAGCAGGGGCCCACTCTGTCTGGAGGGGCCGTTTCCTGGCTTGCTGAGTCCTCACATAGAGAAGGCGGGGCTTGCATGTGACCTTTGGGGTGATCAACCCCAAAGGCCCTGCTGCCCTCTGGATATGGTCTGTGTGTCCCCTAGGCTGCATGAGCCCCCAGAGTGCTCCCTCAACACTCCTGCTTCAGAGTTAGGGCTTCAGTACGAGGATTTGGGGGGAAACACTTCAGCCCAGAGACCTGCAGGCTTGGTTCTAAGGGACACAGGAGCCCGGGGCCCTGACTGCTACCCAGTGTGTCAGAGGCACTCGTACCATAGCAAACCTGGGCAGGGTGGGTCCCGCAGCTGCCCCGGCCTCCCAAGGCCTGCCTTGTGTCATCCTGAGTGGGGATGCAGGGCTGCAGGGTGCAGGCTGAGAGCTCTGGCCCCCAGGTGGGAACACGGCTGCCCTGTGGGTTCTGAGCAGTAAGAGCTATAGAGAAAGCCCCCAGCATAGCTCAGTGTGAGAGCCTAGGTCAGCCAGCACCTCTTCAAGGAAATTAAATGACATTTCCCAGGCTCTCATCCTTCAGGTGACTGCAGAGAAGGGATGGGCTGATATTCAGAGCCAGCAGAGAGAGTGGCCCCGTTCTCTTGGCCCACAGCTGTGGGGGCTCAGTGGGCCTCTGCTCCGAAGCTCCTGCCTGGCAAACAAGGAATATCACAATGCAAGTGTCGTATTGCTGGTGTCCCCCTTCCTGGAAGCTTCCACTTCTCCCTCTGTGACAGAGTCAAGACAGATGTTGCTGCCTGACACCTGGCTCGGCAGGTGGAGGGGTCTCCCCCAGGCCCAGACTCTGCCCACACTGCTTCACTGAGACCAACGCCATGGGGTTCAGCCTGAGTCTGGAACCTGCCCCGACTTTCCTCACCCTGACCTTGGCAGTCCCCAGAGGGGGCAGCACCCTCGCTGGGCCCCTCTTCCTTTGCTGGGAACCCCGAGGCCTCTGCCCTGTGGGTGCTGAAGAGCAAGGCAGGAGCAGCAGACTCCTGGGAGCCCTGGTGGCCGTGTGGCCGAGGCCTGCAGGACCAGGCCGTCTGCTCCTCAGCCCCCTCGGCCGGTGGGCTCGGCCTCAGCCGCAGGGCCAGGCTCAGCCAACCAGAGTTTGAGTCTACGTCTGCTCTTGCCGCAGCTGCGTGGCCCAGGGAGGAGCTGGGGTTCCAGGTGCAGGGGGCACAGGGCATGCATGGGGGGTACAGGGGGTGCAGGACCGGGTGGAAGCAGAGAGCTGAGGGGCGAGGCGCTGGGCTGGGCAAAGCACGGTGCCTGGGAAAGAGCAAAGCACTCCCCGAATCCACCCTGGGCTCTCTGCTGGCCTGGGGGGGGCGGACGACACAGGGCCAGCTCAGCCCAGACACAGGAGCGTGCACACACGGACACGCACACACACACATGCATGCGGCCAGGTGCCGGGCAGGCCCCCTGTGCCCCGGATGCCTCCTGGCAGAGGCCTTCCCATCCCCAGTTTCCCTGTCTGCCCCTCTGCAGACCTCGGTCCAGACCCTGTGGCCGTGGCGGCTCTGGCTCCTCCACAGGAAGCTTGCGTCAAGGGCTGGGCGGTGTGGGGCTCAGTCCCCAGGAAACTGCCCTCCTGTTGCCGGGTAGTGGGGTCGCTTCCATGGAGTCTGACGTCCCAGAGGGGTGGGGCCGGGGTGCTAGCGGGACAGGCTGTCCAGCTCCCCTCTATCTCGGCCTTGTGTGCCACTCTGGGCTTTGGTGGCAAATGACAGAAAAGGGGTGTGCTGCCCAGGGCCGAGAGAGGCTGTGGGAAGAGCCCAGCAGCAGCTGGCAGGGTCCTGGCTCAGCCCCTCCTCGGGCAGGAAGCTGCTCAGCATTGCAAAGCTCAGGCTGAATCAGACGCAAGTGTTCAAAGCTGGTTCTCACGGGCTGTGGCTCTGGGCATGCGGTTAACCTTGCTGGCCCCAGTTCCCCGTCTGTGCTGTGAGGATCCCACGCAGCTGCCGACATCAGCACACATAGCTGTGC